AAAATACCCAACTTTGAGTGACGGAGAGAAAATTACTATGGATGGAATTGTGTGTCAACCATCCCCTAACCACTGCCAATTCATGTTGGAAGCCCTTACCATCTTGGGGCAGCCCTGGTAGTTCAGCTGTTTAGTGCCACCTTCAGTCTAGGGCTTGATCCTGGAGACCCGGGATCGAGACCCACGTTGGGTTCCCTGCATGGAGCCTGCTTCTCCCTCTGCCTGTGTCTCTGCCTCTCTATCTCTCATGAATAAATAAAATATTAAAAAGAAAAGGAAGCCCTAACCATCGTGACTGTATTTAGTGAGAGGGATTTTAGAAGGTAATTAAGGTTAAATGAGGTCATAAGTATTGGGTCTTAAGCTGATAGGATTGGTAGCCTTGTAAGAAGAGGAAGAGAGAATTCTCTCCACACACGTGCACTGAGGACGGATTGTGAGGACACAGCAAGAACGTGGCCATCTACAAGCAGGAAGAGAATTCTCTTACCAGAAACCAAGACAGCTGGCACCTTGATCTTGGCCTTCCCAGCCTCTAGAATGGTGAGCAATTAACTTCTGTTGTTTCAGTCCCCCAGTCTATAGTATTTTGTTATGGTGCCTTCAAGCAGATGAACAGATTTTGGTACCTAGAAGAAGGGCGTTGCTCTAACCAATACCTAAAAATGTGGAAGCACCTTTTGGGTAGAGGCTGGTGGACTTTTGAGGTGCACACTATAAATACGGATGTCAAAGACCATTCTGATGAGTTCTCAGACAGAAATGAGGAACGTGTTTGGAAACTGGAAGGAAGGCAACCCTGTTGTAAAGTGGAAAAGAACTCGGCTGAATGGTGTTCTAGTGTTTTGTGGAAGGTAGAACTTGTGAGCAAAGAAACTGTGGACATTTAACATGGGAGATTTCCAAGCAAAGTGATGAAGGTGCAGCTTGGGCCCTCCTTACTGCTTATAACAAAATGAGAGAGGTGATAGAGAAATTGAAGAAGGAATTGTTAAGAAAAACAACAACATACCCCAGAACTTGGGAGATTTGGAAAATTCTGTCCACCCATATTGCAAAGTATGAGAAAGTTTGTTCTATAAAGAACACTAAAGGTGTGGCTTAACCACCACCTGAAAAAGAGATCATGGATGTGACTCATGGGTATGATTAAGTTCAGCCATCTCCACAGAAGCCAGGAATAAAAATGGGATTACACCAGCAGAAACATGCCAGTGGGGACTCAAGAAAAACTAAACAAATGGAGGAAGACTGTCAGACTTCTTATATCCTACAGGACTGTACAATAAAGCTACTCAGATACAAATGTGCTCTATGCTTCAACAAAGTCAATGTCAATGTCAGGATCATCAGGCTGCCTCCTGTTTCAAAAGGTGGGGACATCACCTCAGTTTCAATAGGCTGGTTGACCTCCATCCAAAGTTCTGGAGGCAGGGCTGCCCAGCAGAGCCTTGGTGGTGAGATTGCTGTACCAGTGGGTCGAAAAGGTGACATCACTGCCTCAGTGGGTCTGTAATGTGGGTCATCAAGCCAAACAGAATCATTCTCAAGACTTAAGATTTAATGGAATTTGTCTTGCTGGGTTTTGGACTTGCTTGAGACCCCTCACTCCTTCTTTCCTCTTTCTCCCTTTTGGAATGAGAGTATCTATCAAATACCTGTCCCACAGTCATATTATGGAAGCATATAACTTATCTGGTTTCACAGGTTCACAGCTGAACAAGAATTTTGCCTCAGGATATATTCTATCTCAAGCGTCATTCATATCTGATTTATGTGATATTTAGGTAAGACTTCAGACTCAATGCTGGGATGAGTTCAGATTTGAGGGGTTGTTGGGATGGACCAAATGGGTTTTGCATGAACATGAATTTGGGAGAGTCAGGGGCAGAACGCTATGGGCTGAACTGTGTGCCCCCCAAATTCATATGTTGAAGTGCTAACTCTCAATGTGATTGTATTTGGACACAGGGCTTCACAAAGGTAATTAAGGTTAAATGAGATCATGAGGGTGGGGTCCTACCAGATAGGACTGGCAGCTTTATAGGAAATAGAAGAGAGAGCTCTCTTTCCACATGCAAACACCAAAAAGAAAAAAAAAAAAGGCCATGAGGACATAGCAAGAAGGTGGCCTTTTGCAACCCAGGAAGGGCACCCTCACCAGAGGCCAAAGCTGAGATCTTGATCTTAAACTTCCATGCCCCTAAAATTGGGAGAAATTATTTTTTGTTTGAGCCACCCATTCTACATTATTTTGTTATGATAGCCTGAGCAGATTGAGATAAAAAATAATATATACTAGAAAAAAAATAGAAGCAGCGAGCCTCAGGAACTACATTCAAAGATCTAACATGTGTGTCATCAAAGTCCTGGAAGTGAGGGCTGGAGAATATGTTCAAAGAAATAATGGCTAAAAATTGCCCAAGTATGGCAAAACACATAAACCTACAGATTGAAGCTGAGAAAACAGGATAAACTCAAAGAAATCCATATCCAGACACATCATCAAACTTGTGAAAACTAAAAACATGATCCGCAAAATGTGTGCAACAACCTTCGAAGTCTCAATGAAAAAAACAATATATATACAAGGCTGTCGTGTGCCTCTACCCAAGAGAAAGATGGTGAAAGGTAAGTATTTCAAAGTCTTTTCACATCTTTCACAATCCAATATGTGGTGTCAACTCAGGTCTACAACTTAATTTTACTGTGGTTATGAATAAATCTAAGTACAAACTATATACGATTGAGGTAAAATCTTTATAAATAAGCACATTTTTCAGGTAACCTAGCTTAAAATGAGACTGAGAACATCAAAGGTCTCTTCTATGCGTTCTCTTTGTAGGCTGTCAGTCTTGACCCCTGGAGTTAAACAGGATTCTTAGCAGGCTGGGAATCACTAAGCAAGGTCTCCAAGACAAAAAGTGCAGAAGCAGACTGCCAGGCCAACATTCCTTGGCTTCAGGGTGGAGACTTTGTACCTGACCAACTAAAAAGTCTACTATTTTCCCTAGTTGGGAGTACTCATTTGAGCAGTTATCTCAATCAACATCTCTTGAGTTCACTCTCCCAGTTCTTTTTCTTGGTCCTTTCCACCTATCTCCTAAGCATCTTGGACTTAAGACTAAGGACACCTTCCCTTCCACCTCCACTCCCAACCCTGGACAAACTCATCATGAATTCTCAATCTTTTATTTCTGCCTCTGCAATTTCCCTCAAGAACCCCTCATTTCTTTCAAGCTTCATTTCCTTAGCATTAAGAGACTACCCAACCCAGACAAGATGTCTTCTTTCCATCATCACACACCCTATTTCTCTCACAAGGATTTGGAAGCTTTCATATACTTTAGGGTGCTGGAAATAATCTTCCTCTTTCCCCAGGGAAATCAAAGTCCTCTGCTGCACTGAAAAAATGTAAAACCCCTCCTTCACATTCTAAGTAAGCTATGTCCTGTATCAGCAATGACTTCTCAACTAATATCTTTTTTTGTAACACACTCTGAAATTCTTTTGTAGCCCTCACACGCTTAGTGATTGTTAAATAAATATGTTCTGAATGTACCACATTTACATAGCCTTTATCCAGTATGAATTCTCTTTTGCTGGCCAAATGCTGAATGCTCACTAAAGGCTTTTCCGTATTCTTTGGTTTTCCCTCCAGCATGAGTTTTCTGATGTTGAGAAAGGGATGAACTCTGGCTGAAAGCTTTTCCACATTCCTTACACTTATAGGGCTTTTCTCCAGTGTGAGTTTTCTGATGCTTTGTAAGAGATGAGCTCTGGCTGAAAGCTTTTCCACAGTCCTTACACTTGTATGGTTTCTCTCCAGTGTGTGTTCTCTGATGACGAATAAGGGCTGAGCGGTCACTGAAGGCTTTGGCACAATCATTGCATTTATAGGGTTTCTCCCCAGTGTGAGTTCTCTGGTGTTGAGTCAGGGCTGAACAGTAGCCAAAGGCTTTCCCACACTCATTACACTCATAAGGCCTCTCCCCAGTATGAGTTCTCTGGTGCTGAATAAGGCCTGATCGATCACTAAAGGCTTTCCCACATTCATTACACTTATAGGGTTTCTCTCCAGTGTGAATGACCTGATGCTGGGTAAGGAATGTGCTTTGGCTAAAGGCCTTCCCACATTCATTACACTCATAAGGTTTCTCTCCAGTATGAATTCGCTGATGTTGAGTGAGGTATGAGCTCTGATTAAAGGCCTTCCCACATTCATTGCATTCATAGGGCTTCTCTCCAGTATGAATGATATGATGCCGAATAAGGGCAGAGCGGTGACTGAAGGCTTTTCCACATTCATGACATTCGTAGGGTTTCTCTCCGGTATGAATTCTCTGGTGTAGAGTAAGATGTATGCTCTGGCTAAAAGCTTTACCACATTCATTACATTCGTAGGGCTTTTCTCCTGTGTGAATTCTCTGATGCAAGACAAAAGCAGAGTAGTAACTAAAGGCTTTCTCACACTCATTACATTTCCAAGGTTTCTTCTCTGCACAAATTTTCTCGTGCTTCATTAGATCTGAATTTTGTTTTAAGTTCTTTTTAAACAAATTGCAGTTATGTAGTCTCTCTCCTTGCTGCTGAGTAAGTAATGACCTCTGACTAAAACTTCTCCCAAATTCATCACACTGGTAACTTCTCTCCCTAGAAGATTTCTTCTGAGTGACAACCTCCTGTATTAAATGCTTTTCATGGTTTTCCTGCTGACTCTCTAAAGAATCCTCACATTCACTGGAACTTTCCTTTGGAAATCTTTCTATTAACACCGCAGGGGCTGATTCTTCTTCAGAAATATCCTGCTCTGGAGTTAGCTCTTGGCTTTCTGGTCTTGTCTCCCAGTCTGAAAGAAACAAAAGTACACATGTATCATGTCCTACATGAGAAAGAAAAATAATTGCTGTGGTAGGAAAATAATGAAAACCAAACAAATGGAAAATGCTTATAAGGAACATAGGAACTTGAAAGCTCTCAAAAACAGCTTTGCAAGTGCAGGCCTCGGGCAGTTTGAACAGTTTAACTGCAAACATGGATATCAGACCAAATCATACAATTTACATTAACAATATGAATGACAAAATTAAAAAAGAAGAATTGAAGAGATCCCTATACGCCCTGTTTTCTCAGTTTGGCCATGTGGTAGATATTGTAGCTTTAAAGACCATGAAGATGAGGGGGCAAGCCTTTGTTATTTTTAAGGAACTGGGCTCATCCACAAATGCCTTGAGACAGTTACAAGGATTTCCATTTTATGGCAAACCAATGCGAATCCAGTATGCAAAAACAGATTTGGATATAATATCTAAAATGCGTGGCACTTTTGCTGACAAAGAAAAGAAGAAGGAAAAGGAAAAAGCAAAAACTGTGGAACAGACTGCAACCACTGCAAGCAAAAAACCTGGTCAGGGAACACCAAATGCAGCAAATACCCAAGGAAATTCAACACCAAATCCTCAGGTCCCTGATTACCCTCCAAACTATATTTTATTCCTCAACAATTTACCAGAAGAGACTAATGAGATGATGTTGTCTATGCTGTTTAATCAGTTTCCGGGCTTCAAAGAAGTACATTTGGTACCCGGAAGGCATGACATTGCTTTTGTTGAATTTGAAAATGATGGACAGGCTGGAGCTGCCAGGGATGCTTTACAGGGATTTAAAATCACACCGTCCCATGCCATGAAGATCACATATGCCAAAAAATAACATATGGCATAGTTGTCTTTAAAGGACTTGGTGTTATTTAAAGTGTTTGTTTTGATAACATTTGGTCAGGCCATTTTTAATAGTTGGGATGTGGGTGAGTGAAAGAAATTTTTGTGAATTTTAAAAAATAACTTAGTTTTTGTTTAGCCTTATTGAGCTATGAAATATGAAGGCCTCAATTTTGTACAATAAACTTTTATTTGTATTCTAAAAAAAACAAAAAACAAAAAACAAAAAAAAAAAACAGCTTTGCAATCTTGAGAGAACTTGAGAAAAGAAAGATGAGTTGGCAAAGAAGTGCAACTGCACAAAAGGGAAAGAGTGAGCAGGCACTCAACACTCTTCTGTGCAGGAGGGTAGGAGATGAGGAAGAATAACAGAGAATAAGACTAAGCAGAGGTCATGCGGGAAAATGGCAGATGAGATTTAAAAACCTGCAGAGACAGAAAAAGGTAGTCTTTCAGGGATGGCCCACTCTTGCCCCCTCACTGGAGCCTCTGCACTTCAGGTCTTGAGAATGACCACTGTTAGTTGAGTTCCTTGCCATCAGTCTTTCCCTATCTCAGGATTTCCCAATCACTGCTAACAGACTCACCTTCAAAACCATCACTCTTAAATGAAAATCTCTGTTGGTTCCATTGTCTCAAGATGAGACACAGATTCTTTTTTTTTTTTTAATTTATTCATGAGAAACACAGAGAGAGGCAGAGACAGGAGAAGCAGGCTCCATGCAAGGCACCTGATGAGAGATTCAATCCCAGGACTCTGGGATCATGACCTGTGCTGAAGGCAGATGCTCAACCACTGAGCCACCCAGGCATCTCGAGACACGTATTCTCTAAGCTAGTATTCAGAGTAGAGCAGATCAGAAAATTCACATCATCATAAAGCTTAGTGATTAAGAAGCTTTGTGAGTGAGTAATCTGGGTAGCTCAGTCAGTTAAGCATCCGACTCTTGCTTTTGGCTCAGGTCATGGTCTCAGGGTTGTGGGGACTGAGCTCCAGGCTCTCAGCCTCTGTACTCTGTTTGAGTACATCGGTCTCAGCATGGAGTCTGCTTGGGATTCTCTCTCCCTCTCCTCTGCCCCTTGAACTTCTGCACTCTCTCTCTCTCTCTCAAATAAATAAATCTTTAAAAAGGATAAAAAATAAAATATAAAAAAAGGAAGCAACTGATCACCTCTGATTCCCCCATACCTAACAAACTTTAAAGAGTTAAACAGAACGAAGTTTTAAAACAAAAGAGTAGCATATAGGGAGAAGAAGGTCAAGTCCCTATATGCTCAGATTGGTTCCCAACCTGTCAGGATACCTGTCCTAAATCCTCGGTTTCCTAGTGAGAATTTTGGGAGAAAAGCTAAAAATGCTAAAAAATGTTTAAATATTTCCAAACTTAAACATTCTTTAATACCCATTCCAGGAGCACCTGGGTAGCTCAGTCAGTTAAGCGTCTGTCTTCATCTCATGTCATGATCCCAGGTTCCTGGGATGGAGCCCCACATTGGATTCCCTGCTTAGCAAGGAGTCTGCTTGTCCCTCTCCCTCTACCCTTCACCCTCACTCATGCTTTTTTTCTCTCAAATATATAAAAGCTTAATAAAAAAATCCATTCTAACCATGACTCTACATGAAATAAATCAGTACAATATAACGTTCTCAACTACCTATCATAATCAGGGAAGTGCCTCAGATTTTAAAGGGGAAATGGGTAGAAAGAAGTTAAAGGCAAAAGACTTTCAGCTAAGGGGAATGGAGGAATTAAATTCCCCAAAATTCATGGAGAACACACAGTTAATGAAGGAAAGTAAGAGACTACCTATCTGGTATTAAGGGTTCAAGCTGGAGAATAAAGAAAGTGAAGTGGTTAGGCAGGTAGTAACAAAAGCCTTGAAAGGAGGTAGAGGACTACAGACTGGCAGAGTGGGGAATCTAGCAGTGGTATGCTGCCTCAGTTAGACAACGTTAAGACTAAGGAAAGTATAATTAGCAGGTAGTCTAACCAGTTTGATAGAAATGATCAGGTCAAATTTATAATATCTTTCAAAAGAAGTTACCAGGACCTAATCAACAGTTATCACTTGCTTAGCATTTGGCCAGATACCATCCTAAGCATTTCTCTCGGATTATTTAATTTGATCTTCACAGCAACCCTATGAGTTAAGTGCTATCATTATCCCCATTTTACAGTTGGGGAATTTAAGTCACAGAGAGGAACATTCACTGGTTAAAGCTCACAGAGCTAGGATGTAGTTGAGATTGGCTTTCAACAGACTGATTCCAAAGTCTGCATTCAACCACTATTCTATGCTACCTCTGCTTAGATAAAGAGGAAGGCAGGGGAAACTCAGAGACCAATTTTTAGTCATTGGTCTGAGACAAAAAGTCACATTATCCTACAGAGATAAAATAACATATATGAAAAAGCCTGGTTTTAGAGCCTAACACCCAAGCATATTATTATCAAATACTGAAATGTTGACTTCATTTTACCTTATTTGGAAAAAAGAACTGGTTTGAAAGGGTAGAAAGTATTTACTTTCTAAAAAAATTTTTTTAAAGTATGAATTTATAACAGATAATCATCCACAGAGCTGGAGTGTGACACGGGAGAAAGGAACTTCACTTTAAATTTTCCATAGGTCTCGTGAAATCTGGAAACGCTCCTCCACAAGCACTTCAAAGATGTTTTGACCCATTTGATGCCCATTGACCATCTGGGTTTTACATCATCACTCACCTGAATGAGTTGCTTTTGAGACTTCTCTCTGTAGTTCCTCCCCACACTCCAACTTAGAGATTACATCAGGCTTGGAAATTGGAAGCCCTGTTCATGGGAAAAGAAAAATTAGTTTGGTAAAGAGCTTATTCAGGGTTATTTCCTTGGTCATTAGGGAAGACAGTATAAGAGAAAGAAAGAGAGAGGTCGATTCTAGATTTCTCCCTCAGAAGTGCTCAGAAGCAGGTAGGAAGATAGATATGGGGTCTATTTGAGCAGAATAACTAAGTCACTTGTTTATTACCTCTCCCTTTAAACAATAAGCACCCATTTCTCAAGAGGTGTCTTCACTAGAACTTTGTCTCAACATCCTTAGTCAGGGAGTAGAGAAGAAGGATGTTGCCTCCTAGAAAAATACACTCAAAAGGTGTCCGTCTCTAACTCTGGGAGAGTTAGGTATTTATCCAGAAACAAAAGTAGACATTGCCTGTCTCAGGACTTACAAAGTGATTAAGAATCTTTGATTCTCAGAGCTCCCAGGAACTGAGAAAGCAAAAGCATCACACTGGGTAAGTTCAAAGGGGGGGAGGAAGCCATCCTTACCCAGCAAGACCAGATTCCTATGCTTCTTAGGCACATCTCCCTGAGGAGGGTTCAGCTGCCCCCACTGGGTGAGAGCCTCAGCCATATCCCTGATCACCAATGACTCCTGAAAAACCAAACACACCAGTGCTCACCAAGGGATCTTCCAGGAGCCTCTGAGAAGGACTCAAACTGAGAGCATAAGAGAAGGAAGACAGGAAGGACAGGAGGACATTAGACAAAATGACCTCTACCGTCTTTCCAACAGTAAGATTCTCTGGCATATCTGTAGCCAGACTCGCTTCTTGCCTCCATGCATGAGAACTACATGTAACCTGCAAGTAGGAAGGAACCTTCGCTATAAAACATGAAGGTACTAAGTTACTAGTTTATGTATCAATAAATTAAATTATAAAAAAAATTTAAAAAAATAATAAAAATAAAAATAAAAAATAATAAAAAAATAAATTATAAAACTACAAAAATACTTATCTTTTAGACATGGGGAAGGGAGAAAATATAATTATGAGCTATTTTCTTTGTGGTATGGTTTTAAAATATAAGGAGTTCAAGAAATAGGAAATATTTTTCTCTCTAGTATTTCTTTGAGAATAAAAGCAATTCCATATAAATGAAAAATTAAGATGTTTGCTGTACATGTCACCAAATGTAGATTTATTTATAAAACAGTATCTCAAGCCCAAATTATAAAAGTTCCCAGAGTGTTCTTGCTATTTCTCATAATGGCCCTGATCAGCCTGACACCCACCCCTCTCTTCACCCGCTGTTCCCTCTCCTCTCTACCCTATACCATACACTCTTCCTTCCACATTCCCTGCGCTCCAATGGGTGGCTGCCTTTCTGCTGCTTGAAGTGTGTGCCACATTCCCTTTTACCCCTTTATACATGCTGCTTTCTGTTCCTGAATGCTCCCCCCTTGCCCCATCCTTTCAGCTATTTTAATCTGACTCACACTTCAGATCTCAGCTCAGGTGTTACCTCCTCAGGAAAGTCTTTCCTGGCTCTCTGAGTTATAGCATCATGTTCCATTTCTCTTGGGTTGTACATACACTGAAGGGACTTTGTGATTAATGCCTGTCTCTCCTATTAGATGGTAAGCATCATGAGAGCAGAGGCTAGGTCTAATTCTGCTCACTGAAGCAACCCTAGTTATCTAGTACAGAGCAGGAACACTGTTAAGTATTTCTCAAACAGATGAATGAACATGAGAAAAGTAGGAATAAGTTTAAACAGGGTATTCTGTAAAAGTGTGCATGAGAATAGATGTGGGGAAGGGAAGAGAAGGCTATCAGTTATTGCAGGGGTACAAGCCTAACCTGGGTCTATGTGACAGGTACAAAGTTCAGATTATCTACTAAAATGCAGGGCAAGGGAGCAGAGTGGGTAATGCTCCTCTGAATCTGTAGCTGAATCTATTTACTGCTGATAAGACAGATGTCTAACAATTTTTCTAATTCTATACAAAAAAAGTCCTGTACAACATTAATTGTGATACATTAAAACAGACCAGTCCCCAAGATGCTAGCAAATAAACAGTCTAGTTTCTCTTTGAGCCTCCACTTTTGCCATAGCTCCCTGAACATACATATGAATATCCTGGGTCATTCTATTTGTAGTCAGCATTCTAGTGTTTATGATATAGCCCTCCAAAAGGTAAAACAATTCACATAATAAAATAAAGTTAAGAGAACTACCTACTTGGAAAATTCCCTGCTCAAAATAATTAAATCTTTATTTTTTTATGTTGAATCTTTTATTAATTTAAATTCAATTAGTTAACATATAATATACTATTAGTTCAGAGGTAGAGTTTAGGGAGTCATCAGTCTTATACAATACCCAGTACTCATTATATCACATGCCCTCCTTAATATCCATCACCCCGTTACCCC